CAGCACATACTGCTCACAAGTCTTTTGATGACATGAAAATAACAAGAATGTGTATGAAAAAGCTGGATGATCTTTAAAATCGATGCTGTTTAAAATGTGCTCTGTGGACAGGCAGTGTCAGCATCACCTGGGAGCTTATTAGAAATGCAAATTCATGGACCTCACCCCAGACCTACAGAAGTAGAATCTCTGGGAGAGGGGCCCAGCCATCTGTGTTGGATTGAGTCATTCACCAGGTGCTTTGAAAAGCACAGCGTAAGTAATAAAGGTTAGTGCTTATTAAATGCTTACTATGCCAGGGGCTGGGTGGAGGACTAGCCTTATGTTATCTGATTTAATACTGGTACAACAACCTTGTGACGCAGATACTATGAGGTCTGTTTTCTGGATGAGAGAATCACTGTTCCAAAGTCAAACACAAAAATTGGTGAAATCAGGACAAATCCAATTCGGCCTAACTCCAAGGCTGTATGTACCTCCTTTTTAATGAAGGAAGAGGGTTCTCAGGGGGAGGCCTTACTGAAATGTAAAACCTTCACTGCAAAAGTGTAATTTATACTGCAAGTCACAAGTGCATTCACGTTGCATGACACTTTACAAATGTCAGTTTTGTCATTGAACATTTGGGTAGGGCAGTGACAAAAATGATTCAAATATAAACACCACATTTCAACATAGTTAATTATAGAATGCTATAGGTTTTGCAGTTAGAAAGTGAACCTCCTCTCTACTTAAGGTCATAATTAGAAGCAGAGATATTCAGCTGTAATCAAATTTAGAAAGGGAGGCAAAGTTTCAGCTTTCAGTCAGAGGCCAAAATTTGGAACAGAGAGCCAATAAACTAAACTAAATCTAAAACTCAATGAGTTGGGGGAGGGGGAGACTTAGGGTAGAAAAAAGATGATGACAGCTTTTCACAATTCTACAACAAATGCAGCTGAAGAAAGAATCTGATGGGGCAAGCTTTTGTTTGTAAAATTTTACACAGGCAGAATTTGAATATGTCATAAAACAAAGGCTTATAGCGAGCGTTGCTTGTCTAAAACCATTTTAAAGGGATTGCAGCCCACCTAGCTTCCCCCCCCCCACGATGCTGGACCTCCATATTCTCCCCAGAAGTAAACCATTTGTGCTGATTATTCATTTTGGCTTTCTGTTAGGCAGGGTGGGTGTACAGGCCAAGAGGAGGACCAAAAGGGTGACAGGGCAGGGGGAAACAAAGGGACAAGAAGGAACTAACCATTTGTCCATTCTGGGACTGCTCTGTTTATTCAGGGCTCCCACCCACTAAATTATCAACCTGGCTTGCCAAGGGTGCCTGCCTGCTGGGCTAATGGGGCACGAAGCTCAAGTTGGACTAGTTCTGAATGCCGCTGAGTGCCTTCCAGGGCTCAGCACCTGCAGATGTTTGGGTAAATGGTTCCTCCTCCAACAGCTGTTCTCCACAGGAGTTCCAGCAAGTGCCCCGTCAGCCGGGATAGGGGGGGCACTGAGGGGCTCCAGACGGCCCACACAGACCTAAAGTGTTCAATGACTTTGTGGAAAACCGACTCCCAAGGAATTTCTGTGGTGAGGGGAAACACAATACTGAAGAAATTCCTCACAGAAATGTCTAGGAAAATAAGGACTTCTTGAAAGCTGACCATGGCCCCTTTATTTCCTTTGGGCATTTGCTCTTATGAATAACATTTTCAGGTTCCAAGACTATGACACCTATTCTGTCAATATTGAAAAGGAGAACAGTCCCAGGAGAACAGTCCCAGGCTGTCACTGTCATCTCAGGTCTCCCCTCCCTGGTTTACCCTTATTGTCAACGTGTTTGATTTTTGCATCATAACAGAGAGATGACACCGAGTGAGCCTCAGATTCGGGGTCTGAGCTGGTTCTCAGCATCCTTCCTTCCCACAGCAGCCAACACACAGTCCACCGTGGAAAGAGTCATGCCTCATGAAGGAACAGGAGCGATCAGGTGGGGATGACGCTTTGGCACCACAGCTCTACCTCTTCCTCTCAAATGACCCCCACTAGGAAAACTTTATATTTTAAACCTTTCAAAATTCTTATCTTTTAACTGCATAGTGTTCTTTTCTTTAGGTGGTCCTCAGAAACCTTGATTTCTTTGAAGGAAAGATAAGTAACTATCCAACAGGGGAACTATTTATTACTCTCATTAATAAACTTTGAGCGATAGGTTCCTTCGAAAACCTGACCTACTCACCTTTTCCTTGAGGTAAAGTGTTATTGCCTTGCAGACTAACGTGAAGGACACCAGGAGCGAAGGAGGCCTTCCCTTCGCTCCCCCCACCCCCCACACCTTTCTTTATGCTCCTTGTCCTCAGCTCCCAATCCTGGGAATGCGCTTTGAAACAGGGCTAAGGTAACAGGACACAAGGATCCCTTGTCACTAGGTCAGAGACTGAGAGGGTTTGAGTACAGATTTCCTCTCATAAAATTAAAGCTTCAGAATATGCCAGAAGGAGAAAATGCCAAAAGAAACGGTCTTTCCTTAGCTGCCTCGGTAGGAGGGATGCTACTAGTGTCAAGCACAACAAGGACAGGGGAGCCAGGCCTTGGAAGGTGGCCATATGTGGTTCTGGGACCTGGTGCAGCTGTTTTACATTTAAGGAATCAGCTGCTCAGAACAGTGTTTTTGGGGAACTGAAGACAAATGAATTCATAACATCCTTTACATCTCTTGGTCCTCCAGCCCCCTTCCTCTACTACTCTAATCTGTCAGCCTCTTTTTGGGTGGCTATTTATTTTCAGCAGTGAGATGGAAGATATACAAAAGAGCAGCACATTAAGAAATGCTTCTACCCCAGAAGATGCACTCTGGGTGCAAATCTTATTCCCAGGGGGTCTCGATCAGGAAAATTGAGGTAAACCTTATGACCGTCTGTCACCAAGCATCTGAAATGCCTGTTTCTTTTTTCTGACACAGACACGCAGTATGCTTAGGTTCAGCACTCTGCAAAGAGCAAAGCAGATGTCCGCTGTTGAAGAATGCATGTGCGACTGAAGCCAGTGACCTTGTAATCCACCAAATGCCTGTGACGGAATCCACAGCGCCTCTACTCACAAGTTTCCTCACTGAAGTCATTTTGGGGGAAGCCAACAAAAAATTCCAAAATATGCAGGAAGAGCCTGGAAAGTCTGAGGAGGCTGCATTTTTCAAACAAACAGCAACTGCAAAAGGGTTGTTTTTCTAGAATGGAGGGGGCTTGAGACATAAGAGCCACAGATGTGTGAAGCAAACCTTTGCACTTCACAATGTTTCACCTGGATAGTTTTTCAAGTTCAACACAGATAAATAATGGTAAAGAAAAGAAAAAAAAAAAAGCGCAGAAAAAGTTTTTTCCTGGCTTTGGCAATAAGCTGGTGTGACCTCCAATGAATCATGTAATTGTGTATCTTAAGGCCTTGCTTGCTGGAAAGAAGCATCAGGCAGGTAGTGGCAAGTACCTGGCAGACAACAGCTGAGACCCCCATCTGCGGTGGGAGGAGGGCATGCCCAGCGATCTGATGCCAAAGCATCCTTCTGTTCTGTGCACCGGCACACACTTATTTTGGCTAAGCTTAGCTTCATAAATACTAAGCCCAAGTCTCCCCATGCCCGAATGGAAGACGTTAGGTTTTAAAGAATACAGCAAGTCTTCCAAGCAGAGACATAAAATGCACTTGAAGATTTGGGTATCTGTATTCCTAGTCAGCATCACCTGGAGGTGCTATCTATTGCTCTTTTTTTTTTCCCCTCATAATCCTACAGCAGATAAAGTTGGGGGATTTTGAAAAGCAACTGGCAATTGCTCAGTCTCATTTTCGGTTCTGCAGGCCTTCACTGGCTCCTGTCCTCTCAACTCCTCTGGCCTGTTGTTAGTATCCTAACAAAGATCACTGCTGCCATGGTCACCTGGCATGTGGACAGGTGGCTGTGTCGACATAAAAGGTTGGCTTTCATTTGGACTCTATGTGCCATTGACGATAAGGTTTTTTGCTCCCATTAAATGTTCTCTTGGAGAAGAAAATCAAATTAAAGAAACTTTTAGGCTTCTGGTTGTGGTTTTTATTTTAGAACCATAATGGGAATGAGGTGTATAGGACAAACTGACATTTCCCCATCTGGTCCCACTTGCTGACAAGCACCCCCCGCCCATGCTCCCAACTACTTGAAAAGCCAGTCGAGCAAAAGAAAACTTGTGCTAGAACACTCTGGCCTTTCAGCAGGATCCTGGCAACACAATGACCTGCGGGGGAAATGTTTGGGAGGAGTGGGGAGAAGGGGAAGGCTAAGAAGAGAAACTGAGTGCCCTCTTGGGCAATGAAAACCAAAGGGCTAACCTTTAAAACAGGGGTCAGCAAACTTGTCAGTTCTCAAGCTAAAAACAGCCTGCTGCCTGTTTCTGTAAATAAAGTTTTATTGGAATACAGCCACGCCCATTCATTCATATTGTCTACAGTGGCTTTTGCACTCTTAACAGCAGAGTTGAGTAGTTGTGACAGAAACATGGCGTGCAAAGCTCAAAACATTTACTAACTGGCTCTTTGCAGAAAAAAATTTGCCAATACCTGTTTTAAAACAAATATAATTTTCTTGAACTTCAGAAAGTGCTTGGGCAAGAGAATTCAGTTAATCTGTACTAAATGCCAGCAAACATTTAAGGGCAGGGATGAGAATCTCAAAGGCCTAAGGAGTTAGTGCTCTGCATTGCATTTTTTAGGCTAAAGAACAACAGGTGGCCTTCAATTTAACTGCAGCATCCTCTTTATATTATTCAACTATTAAATGTGATCTATTTCATGCCTACAGATTCTAGGTACCTTCCCACTTTGTACTTATGTATGGGCAGTAAGATCTGTGACCGTCCCATCATGACACCTAAGTGTCCCCTCAGTTAGTTCTTACGGTAGTAAGTAAGGAGCAGCTGACCCTTTCTTCCCGAAAGGATAGTCGCGTGTGGGTATGACTCCTACACAGTGGTGGGCAAAGGCCATCACTGTACCTGTTGGCCAAAAGCTGGGACCTGGTTCCCGAGGGCGAGGTCAGGTAGATGGCCAGGTCTCCCCTCCTGGGGTGGGTGATGGTTATGCGCACCACGACGTGTTCCAGGTAGTTGACATGGTGGTTGGGGTTATCAGAGCAGCCCGAAGCTTTGTAGATGGAGCGCACTGCACTGTTGGGGCGGATTGTCCTGCAACAGACAGACAGGGAGTTTGAGCAAAGTCCATGGCAGAGCTTGGCTAAGAGATCCCACAGGCCTAGAACGAGATGACACGATGTAATGCAAGCAGCTGGTCACTGGAATACTACAGGACACGGCGCTATCACCCAAAAGATTGGGCCATTTCAAGGATTAATACTGGTTAGGCAGTGAGAAAGATGCAAGTGAAAGGAAAAGGGGCATTAATGTTTTATTTTCATGCAGGTAGTGGATATCAAGCTTAAGACTCTCACCTTGTTAAAACACAGGTTCCTGGGCCCAGGCCTCAGAGTGTATTTAGTAAGACTGGGGTGGATCTCAAGAATGAACACTGTTAACGAGTTCCCAGGTGACAGTGATGTTGCTGATCTACGGAATACGCTTTGAGAGCCACTGATATAGGGTGCTGTGGTACAGTGAAAGCTTGGGGATGAGCATGGCCTTGGGATTTGACTCTGGTCTACCATTTCCTTGCTCTATAACCCCTGGGCACATGCTTCCTCTTGCCTACAGGTTCCTGTCTTCTTCAGTAGCTTCCTCCTGTGCCACTGTTCCCCTTGAACACTGGGCTCCGGCCACACTGGCATCAGTTCAAGTCCTGGGATAATTCAAGTTTCCCACCTCAGGGCCTTTGCATATACCATTCTACTCTGCCTCAAGGGCTTTTTATTTTTTTATTTTTTTTTGCTGCTGTTCATATGGCTGACTCTTCTTCTTGCTTCACGGTGAAAGCTTAAATTTCACTCTCTGAGACTGTCACTGAACCATAGGAAAAGTATGCCCCCCACCTCGTTTTCTTTCCACATTTACTTACTATAATTTGTAATTATCTACTTATTATATATTTTTTGGCTTAACTTCCACTAGACTGTAAGCTCCACAGGGCAGGAAGCATTTCTTATTCCCCTTTCTATCCTTAATAGGTAGCTCAGTGCTTGATATCCAGTAAGTGCAAGAAAAATAGTTGCCGAATTGGTAAATGCATTTGTGAATAAATAAACAAATATTCCATTTGATTGCACTTCCTCATTTGTCAAATGGTAACAATACTCAAGTTCTTATAAAGTTTTAAAAGAAAACACACATGAAGTTTCTAGCACTTGGCTTGGCCCATACTCAGTGCTCCATAAATACTGGTTAACGTTTCACTCCTTTATTGTTTCCTCTTATTCTTTGCCACAGAGTAGAGTAGAAATAATAATAATAATAATAATAATAATAATAATAATAATAATAATACCACCAAACACTTTGGTCCATTTATTTCTGCTTCTTAACAAATTTCCTCAAGAATTCTAATGGCTCTAGTTTCATTCCAAACAAACTTCCTAAATATTTTTCTGGGAGCTACCACTCTGAAAAGAACGCTAAAAGCAAAATACTAATAAAATCACGAAGATGAATCCTATTCTTTGAATTCAGCACCTAGGAGAGACTTCACATTGTGGCTGGTAAATCCTGTCAGCACAGCCTCCAAGTTTGTGCAGCTGGAACATGGGAATAGGCCCTGAAATCACTAAATAAACAGCAATCTCACTTACTGTGTATTTTGCCACTCTTTGGAGAATTACACGGTATGTAGTTAAGTTTCCAGAACATAAGGTTTATAGTTTTTTGGAGTACAATGACTTTTGGAGAATACTTGCACCATCAAATAGAAGGATTGACAGAGTAGAAACCTTAAGAATGCCCATCTTTAGGGGTCCCCCCAAATCCCTTTTTTTTCTTTTTTTTTTAAGTTGAGCCATCCTGCCACCTGTTGGCAGCTCAGTTCGGGCCGGGCATCGAACTGCGGTTGCTCAGAGCTCACACTCTTGAGCGAGCTCTTAACCAACTGAGCCACTCAGACAGCCCTTCCAAATCCCCTCTTAATAGATTTTTTTTAAAGGATCCTTGGGTTCTGCTAGTATGGATTTAACAGCTTAGCATCCTAGGCATTCTATTAGAATTTTATAATTACATTAGAAAAAAACTACACAAGGTTTTAGCTTCCATGCATAACAAAGGGCTATCTTGAGCACTTGCACTGGCCTGCTCTCTTTAAGGCACTGTCATGCTGTCTGCTTGCAGCAAATATTACTTGATTTGTCGGTCTGTGCTCTCCACACACACGTGCTGCTGGGGAACAGTGGTCCACTTCTCCGCCTCCATCACCATGGCTTCTGCATCCATCAGTCCAAATCCATAGAGGTGGCTCACTACGAAAAGCAAGAGGTTGGTCAGCTTCACCAAGGTTAGGAGCAACCTAGGTTACGTATGTTGACTTATAATTTTGCTCAGCAGAGAACCTGAGCACATTCCTAGCTTTCTTTCTACCAATGTTTTAAAAACAAATAAAACAAGTAACAATCACAAAAAAAATAAGATGAATGTATATTACTCATTGATTATGTATCATTACTAGTAACATGATTATCACTTATGAATTGTGACTACATGGCAGGCACTAGTGCATATTTTTACATTTAATCCTCCCAACAATCTTAAGATGTTAGTGTTATTATTATCATCATTCATGGATGAGAGAACAGGAATAGAGAGAAACCTGGCTGGGATTGGCTAGCAATTCAGTGGTCGGGCTGGATTCTAACCCACACAGTTTTCTCAAAGGCCTCACAGTTAACCACTTGTAGTCATGTGATGACATCATCGATTTTGTAAGATAAAATAATGAATAGGTATAAAGAGAAGTGACGATGTATACAACTTCTCCTAGTGCAATAAGAAATTACATGCAAGAAATACCAGTTTTCTGACATGTCTAGTATTTAGGTTGAATATCCCAGAAGACATAAATTATTATCTCTCCAGAAGATATAAATTATTAATATGAAAAATTTATTAAACTTTATGCATGAAATATTTGGAGGCCTCCAGACTTTTATGCCAGCTTCTTATCCTCACAGGTTGTAATCTTTTAGTACCCACTGAGAGTACCTATTGATCTAAAGCTGAATTTGGCATAACTGTCTCAGAAACTTCAATTACATATAGGAATATTTTAATGATGACACAGCAAGATCAACATGTGCAGTTCTTTCTAAAAATACTTTAAAATCCCAGTTGAATACTTCAAATCTTCACCTTGTATTAACTCTCATATCTTTATATTTGATATAAAGTCATACTTCTACCAAGTTTGTTGCCTAAAATATTTTCCTTATAACATTAATTACATTATACAAAAATTTCCATAGCTGCCTAGGCTTATGGATTATTTAAATACTTCATCTTGAAATTCAAGATGTTTGATGATATAGTCCCATTCTACTTTCAAAACAACTTTCTAACTTTTTGCTTAAGAAAAGTCACTCCTTTTCTAAAGATATGACACTCTCAGTCCTTTCTTGCTCTTTCTGTCTCACTGCCTTTGCTCATGCAGAGCCCTTGGCCTGGAAGTCCCTCACTCCTCCTCTCTGTAGAGTCAAACTCTTATAAGTTCCTGAAGGCCTAGCTATTCTATCTTCTCCTCCTTGAAATCTTCTCCGGCCAATATAAATAAATAGATATTCACTGAAATTCAACCATCTGTGATGAGTGAACTTTTTTTCTTTCTAGTCTTATAACTCTAATTTGTCAATCCATCTGCCCTTCCTGCTCATCCATCCATCCATCCATCCATCCATCCATCCATCCATCCATCCA